GGGCATTCTGATTTGCTGTAGCTCTTAATTGTCCTCTAGATTCAGTTTCATTCATACAACCAACTTGCACTTGATTGAGAGAAGGCTTTACTGTAAGGAGCTGAATTTTTGGGGTAGCATACTTATCTTTTTAAGTTCTTTCAATAAATCTGTTGCTGGTACAGTGTCTTGAGATGTAAACAGCTTCTTTTTCAGAGCAACCTTCACACTGGTAGCCATTTTATTAAACGGGTGTGGTTTACTTTGTTCTAAAAATAGTAAACTCATTAGGATATGCAGGCTACAGTGATTTTAATTAAATGCGTGGGTGTTGCACGCTCCTACCCTTTCCTTTTTCTTTTATGGGCTCCTGATAGTATCTATGATACTACATACACACATGGATATGAAACAGGAAGTCGGTATCCAATGGACCTTTTGCACTTAAGCGATTCTAATTAACGCGCCACCAAAGTGGTGGTAAAATGGCGGATTTTTGGAGGAAAGACAGGCTGAACAATCTTCTCTTTTATCCAGCCATTCTAGCTGTAGGAGCCACTTTGAGCTATCCTTTTGTTTCACTATACTCTATTTATCTCTTCTGTAAGCTCTTTGGTTGCTGTTTTGGCTTTTATAGCATTTTATCATAGGAATATTCTCACCCATTGGCAATTCCCGTTTTTCTAAATTTTGCTTTCAGGAGCCAAGGCGCTTGCCCCTCCATTGCCATGAAGACAGAAGTGCATTCAGCTGAGTCCTATGACTAGTGTCTATCATCAGACTTAGTCTCAGTCCATCAGAACCAGGTACGGTGGAATAACTCACTCAGTTGTCATGTTGCAGCTGGAGTGTGGATGATTATGACCATCTTTTCACTTCTTAAAACCATAGGATTGGTCTTTAATCACATGTAAGAAGCATTCCAAGAAACATAAGTGTGCTAGAATAGCTCAGCATCATGTAACTAGCTCTTAATAGTAACATCCAGTACGAAGTAAAACACTTCCATCGTTACATGATTTTAATATTTTATTTATGATAAAAATTGATGTTAATTACAATAATTATCTTTGTTATCGTTAAAATAGTTTCTAATTATTGTGTATATACTGTTAATATCATAAAAGTATGAGTAAATACATAAATAGTCGTCTATACAAATGCAATGTAGTGACCTAGTGATAACAACAATAATAGTTCTAGCAACAACACCCATAATGTTTTTTATAATTTAAATAATAAATAAAACTGTTGGGAGAGGATACAAATGGTTTAGAGCCATGAACGAGTCC